AAGCATGGTGTAGCATGGGTAATAGTCTTCACACTGGGTACTCGTAGGTGGGCATATCTGCATCTGAGGGGACAGATAGAGGAGCGGTGTCTAGGTTCCTTCCGATGGTCTTCGGTGAGCCCTGTGAAAGGGTCGTTGGACCCCAACGTTGAGAGCCAATGCTCTATAGCCAGGGTTTGTTATGGTTTCCATGTTTTTGCTATTGTAGAATCACTGCCATAATTATAGGTGCGTACCTATCTGTGTTTTAGTCTATGTTTCTTTAGACTTTATACCAAGCAGAGCGATTGCAGGATCATCAGGGATTTGCGTCTGTCTACGGAGGTGCCACAGCGGTTCCCTGGGGGTCGTACAGCTCTACAAGCCCACCAGCAACGGATGAGCGTCTCAGCCTCTCCACATGCTCCATTTATGACTTTCTGGTTTTTAAAAACAATTTTACTAAGACTTTCGGTGTGACTGTTGGTGTGAGGCTCATTATTGTTTTAATTTCTATTTCTCTTACTGATAACAAACGCAAACATTTCTTCGTGTGATTGTTGGCCTCCTGGATGTCATTTTTAGTAAACTGTATTCATGTCTCACGTCCACTTTTTATTGGATGATTTGTTTATTAAGGGGGTATAGTTTTCCATCGGTTTTTGAAAGTAATCTGATATATTACTGCTAATTATTTTTCCCCAGTCTGTGGGTTCTCTTTTTAATTCTTTTGATGAAGCTGTTGCATGTGCACAAATGCCACATTTTAGGAAACTCACGGCCTCTAGTTGTCATCTACGGTGCGGGCGTCTATCATGTTTCTGTCTTGAGTGTCTTGACCTTAGGTTTGTCTCTCTTTTCGATGGTCTTTATGGCTCCAGGGCAGCGGTTCTCAACCTGTGGGTCTCGACCCCTTTGGGGGTTGAACAACCCTTTCACAGGGGTCACCTGATTCATAGCAGTAGCAAAATGACAGTCATGAAGTAGCAACAAAAATGATTTTATGGTTGGGGGGTTCACCACCACATGAGGAACTGTGTGAAAGGGTCGTGGCATGAGGAAGGTTGAGAACCACGGCTCGAGGGTTTATATTTCAGTCTCGTTTTTGTACATGGTGTGAGGTATGGGTCTGGTTTCATTCCTTTTTTGTTTCTGCTGTTGTCTGCATTGCAGCCGCGTCCTCGGTGACGCCTTCTTTCGGCTCGTGTAGTTGTTTCGCTGTGGGTCTTCCGCAAGCAGGATGCGCTGTCCGTAAGGCCTTTTGCATGTCAGTTTAGGTTGCTGTCGTTGACTCTGCCCAGAGAGCTTCTTTCGAAATTTTATAAGAGTGGTCTTGTTTTCACAAACTCCTATCATTTTCTCTTCTCTGAAAATGAGTTCATTTCTCTCCTCATTAAGGGATAACCTTACTGGATATGGGTCTTGGTTGGCAGTTTGTTTGTTTTCTTTAAAAATGTTGACTATCAATCCAGTGTCTGCCCGGTTTCAATGGAAAAGTCTGAACATGCCCTTCTCGGTGGGCCCGTATATGCAGTTGCTCTTTTTTCCCCAGTGCTGCTCTTAGGATTGTTTCCTTTTCTTTGATTGCATTCTCTTCTAATTCCATTTTTCTACAAATTTGTTGAAGCCTCCTTATGGGTGTATGTGTGTGTGTGTGTGTGTGTGTGTGTGTGTGTATTAGACGACATAGAAAGTGTTTTTAAAAAGGAAAGAAATATGTGGGGTACCAGCCCCCACAATCGAATGGGTCCAAGGGCTGGCTGTGCAACTGAGGCGGTAAATTAAAGAGACATCAGACAAGATAAAGAAGTGCTCACCTTCGCAGTGTGGCTTCATGAGCCAGGTCCACATGGAGAGATGCATAATGTGCTCTCATAGCTTGTACACTCTCGGCCATGCAGGCCATGGTAAGCACATATGTAACAGGAAGGGGCTGTACACTAGGCATCCGTGTGATGGGTGGGTGAACTAGGGGTGTACGCACAATAGGAAGAGGAGGCACTAGGGGCACATACGTGGCAGGAAAGCATATAGGTAACAAGATGGGCGGGCTCTAGAGTCAAAAGGGCAGCCCAACCTTGGTCATCCCTGAGTCGGCTTGACCTTAGATGTCTCTGAGCTCCTCTTCAGGGGAACCATCCATTATCCTTACCAGAAGGGAATGGGTCCTACTCAGGGTGGAACAGAGACAGACAATAGGGTCTGATTGCTCTAGATCAGGGGTCTTCAAACTTTTAAAACAGGGGGCCACTTCATTGTCCCTCAGACCCGTTGGAGGGCCGGACTATAGTTTAAAAAAGAACTATGAACAAATTCCTGTGCACACTGCACATGTCTTATTTTGAAGTAAAAAAACAAACAGGGCAAAAACACCCGCAGGCTGGATAAATGTCCTTGGCGGGCTGCATGTGGCCCGCGGGCCATAGTTTGAGGACCCCTGCTCTTGATGGCTGATGACCTTCAGGCAGATAACCTTCAAGCAGTTGACCTCCAAGTGGATGGTCATTGACCATGTGTTTGCAAACCGCACCTTTGATTTGACATTATGGGGAGACACCATGGGGAATAACTTTTACTTAGGAGAATATGAGTGGGACACATCTCTAGCCCATGAACGTGAAGGTTTCCTCCACGGGAGCCTTGGCCTCCCAGACTCCTTAATGTCTGAATGTTGAGAGTTTGTCCTCCTGCACTCTCTTCTCAGTTCTGTTTCCCACAGAAATAAAAAACAGCTGAAAATCCAGGGATTAGAGATGTTTATGACAAGGAGATCCTGCCCTCCTAGGATCACCAAGGGCAACTTGGTAACAAAACTTTAACTTGGTAACAAAAGATTAAAAAAGAGAAAGCTTTCCAAGCAGGGACCCTGCATGGATAAAGGAAGGAGCAGATGGTGAGAAGGTTGAAGTAGTAAATAGTCCGATGTGGCTGGCATGCAGGGCACAGATTTGGGGGAGAGGTAGGAAGAGATGGAACGAGAAAGGCAATATGAAACTAGGTTGAAGAAGGTCAAGGATGGCAGGCTGAAGGAATTGGACTTCCTTCCTGGAACCTTGGTGGCACAGTGGTTCCATGTAGGCCTGCTAACCTCAAGGTCAGCAGTTCTAAACCACCAGTCGCTCTGTGGGAGAAAGATGAGGCTTTCCACTCCCTTAGAACTACAGTCTCAGAAACTCGCAGGGACAGTTTATACCCTGTCCTGTAGGGGTGCTGAGTCAGAATGGACTCAGTAGCAGTGAGTGTGGTTCTTTGGCTTTCCGTCCTGGAGAGGGACACTCTTCGGCAGTCCTGGAGTTGGCTCGCTCTGTGACCTCTGGCCAGGTGCTGAACATGATCTTCCCCCTTGTCGTAAAGGTTTTTTTTTTAAATAAAAAAGGTAAATTAGATGCCCCATACACAGTAGATCCCAAGAAATAATAGGGCATCCTGCTGTCTCCATGTTCTCCTATACACACTTTCTACCATGGTGGGGATAATATGATTTGTCAGAAGAACCTAGACTCTGAAGGGCAGACCTGTGGATAATCCCAGTTTGTGCAGACAAAATTTTTCACAGCCATCCATCCAGCCATCCAGCCAGCCAACATTACTGAGTACCTACTACGGAACGAAGGACCGTGTGGGTTCAGAGGTAGAATGCTCACCTTCTATGTGAGAGAGCCAGGCTCAATGCACAGCCACCACTTGTTGCCAGTGGAGGCCTATGTGTTGCTATGAGGCAGGAGAGCCTCCAGACTAAGATAGACTAGGAAGAAAAGCCTGGTGATCACTTCTAGAGATCCAACCCGTGGACCACAATGGTCAGATCCAGTGTGCATGAGGCCACTGCGAATCAGGGCTGACTGGACGGCCTCTAAGGACAACAACGCTATGGTACAGACCATGAAACTAGGCACTGGGGGATGAGCCACGCATTCTCACCCAACACTGCGCTCCAGAAGCAGGGGGAGGAAATATGTCTTTGGAGGAGGAAGAAGCCAAAGCTCCAGAACCAGAACTTCACAGTCTAATCCCCATGCTTTGGTTTTGCACGGCAGGTGGGAAAGTCCCTCCAAAGCCAATTCCCTCCATCTGAAAGGTGCCTGGGACATTTTACACCTTACGTTCCAGCTGGGATTTCTGTAGGTCCCTCCATCGCAAGACTCCATTCAGGAGGCTGGAGAAGGCTTCTACCCTGGAAGCCACCCATCATCCATTCACACCCCGGCAGGTGGGGGTGAAACCGCTCACTGCGGCTTAGCATTCCATGGTGGAGGGACAGACAGCGGAGGGATCAGGCAAGCAGGGTAGGACCAGGCCTGTAAGGCAGGACCAGCGTGGGGGGCAAGCATTTGGGAAAAGACCAACTGGAAGGATTTACTTCTCAAGACAAAGCACTCCTGGGGATTCTGTTGTCCTGGACCAGGGTCTCGGGGTGTGAACTTTCCTTTGGGGAAGGAAAGAAGTGTACAGTCTTGGCTGATTTCCTTAACTTCCTTCACCTTCACCAATGGGGCCCTGGAGGACCCCGCCCAGTGACCCGGACCTCAGCTTCCTGCTCTGTGAGCCAGGGCCACTGCTGCTGTGTGGCTGGAGAAGTTGCTGCGGTTTGTCCTGTGAGTGGGCTCTGTCTGGAAGCACCTCGCTAGCTGGACTCCACAGCACCTCTCCAGGAGTCTGTTGGACTTCGGTTCCCCATCTCCAGTGCACCGTGGGGACCCAACATGACCTGGAGTGGCCTGGTGTTCCCAGTGGTGACGAAGATGGGATTGTCTCTTTGTGTGCGTTTGGATTTGGCTTTGAGATCCTTGAATGTATTTTTTTTTTCCTAATAGGCATTGGTAGTTAGGACAGGAATATGTGTGAATTGAGTTGCCAATCAAAAGAAAGACTTCTCTTGTTGTCTAGAGGGGAGAAAACAGCCCCTGTTTGGGTCCCAAGGACTTGAATTTTGGGAGGATGCTTTTTATTAGGAGTCCCCTTAAAATTATGTTGTCCTCTCTTGGCTACTGGTAATTCTGATGGTCTCTGTTCTTCTACAGCTTGGAATTGCCATCGGGTTCTTGGTCCCTCCAATTTTGGTACCCAACATTGAAGACCTGGACAAGCTTGCTTACCACATCAGCATTATGTTCTACATAATAGGAGGCGTGGCCACAGTGCTTCTCATCCTGGTCTTCATTGGTAAGGTCATGAATGGACTGGCGTGGGGAGGTGCCTCGGGTGGGACATTTGTTAAGCATGGCCCCAGAATGCCTTGAGAGTTCACAGAAATGAGAGGTTGGGTATGTAATGGTGTTCAAATTGTTAAGCCGGACTAATTGACATGAGTCCATTTTGAAAAGCAAGGATGTTACTTTGAAGACGACGATGCATTCTCTTAGAAGAAGCACAGCCAGGGTGCTCCTTAGAGGCCAGGGTGGCAAGGCTTCATTCGTCTCACGTCCTTTGGACGTGTTGCTAGGAGAGACCAGTCCCTGGAGAAGGACTTCATGCTTGGTAACGTGGAGGGGCCGTGAAAAAGAGGAAGGCTCTTGGCAAGATGGATTGACACAGTGGCTGCAACAGTGGGCTCAAATGGGAGAACCATTGTGTGGATAAAAAAAAAAAACCAAACCTCACTGCCCTGCAGTCAATGTCAACTCCTCGTGACCGAATAGGACAGGGTAGAGCTGCCCCTGTGGGTTTCTGAGACTGTCACTGTTTGTGGGAGTCAAGCCCAGTCTTTCTTCCTCGGCATGGCGGATGGTTTTAAACTGGGGATCTTCTGTGTCACAGCCCAATCTGTCACCCCTATCCTGCCAGGGCTCCTTCATCGTGAGGATGGCGAAGATTAACTCGTATTTGACCTGTTGCCTAAATCCCTCTCACCTGAGTTAATGGGTAGACCGCTGAGTCTCTTGATGAAACCACTGTGAGCCCTAAAGATACCCAAACACTCTGTGTGCTAAGCAAGCCCAACCGCCTTTCAACTCAGCATCCCCGCAAGCTGCGGAGACTGTTACCGTCCTTTTAACAGTGAGGAATATCAGGCTGAAGGGAGGTTAGGTTACTCAAGATTACATAGCTAGCTAGGGGCAGAGATTGGATTCAACCCCAGGCTTGTCTAATGCCCTACTCTAAACACTTAAAACACAAACAAACAGAAATTGTCCACACACACTAACCATGTCAGAACCTCCTGAGAATACTTTGAGACTGCATTTTAATACTTTTTATGATCATCAATGTCCACTGCAGCATTATTGACAGAAGCTCAATGGTGGAAACCACCCGAGTGCTCATCAGCAGGAGAATGAAGAAGCCAAATGGAATGCTAGCCAACCATAAAGAGAGATGGTCATCTGATACCCGGCACGATGAACCTTGAAAAGATTAGGCTGAGCAAAGTAGGGCTGACTTCAAAAGGTCAACTGCTGAGACACTCGTGCATGTGAGCTATGGCATGCAGGAAATGCCCAGAGACAAAAGTGTCACCGATTGCCAGCGAGCAGGTGCTTGGGCTTCATCTGCCTGCTGTTCTGTTTCAGCTTTAGATTAAGAGGATTAAGAATTCTTTAAAAAATTAATTGTTTTTGTCCCCTTCCTAGTCTCTTCCCAATAGAAGACTGCTCAGGCTTCGTGAGTTCTGTCCCTTATGAGAGGGGACAGCAAAACAGCTGTTGGGCGTTGGCTTTAAGGCTGCCAGGGTGGTTCAAGGCATTGTGGGGAAATACGCTTCACATATAAAACTAGACGGAGTTGTCATTTACACTCAAGGAATGGGACAGAACCAGCCCTACAGGGAGGGCAGGCAGCTGTCACTTCAAAGGTACTGGTTTCTGTTTAGGCTGATGATATATATATACTTTTGCAACTGGACCGTGGTAGTCATTGTACAGCCTGGCAACTAGGATTAACATCACTGAATTGTGCAATTCCAAAGGGTTGGAGCAGGACATTTTTGTGATATTTGAACCATGATTTTTTTCAAGCGTCATAGATGCTCGTATGGAAAATCGAGAAGATACAACAAAAACGAACCCCCATTAATGTAACCCGTGCAACTCCATCCCAACCCCCACCTCCGGGTTACTGATACTAGTTGATATATGTGCATTTCATCACGAGATACGGCACTTCCTAACACTTTCTTTTTGCATCTGGGCGATGTTAGATGGACTGTGATCAATTAAGAAACAGCGAGGCAGAGGTTGTCATTTGCAGTTAGTCACCTGTCCAAAGGTTAACCAGTTTCCCCCCTCACGTTTGAAGCTCCACCTCACGTTGTAAAAGTTTTTTTTTTTGCCTGCTGACCTCTCCTTCAGAACCAAATGGCTCTGCCATGATCAGCACATCCAGCCACCGGCCCCATGTCATTTCCTCTCTGGAGTCTAGAGTTGGGAATGGCTACCTAGTGGCTTTTCAAAGATGGCAGAATGCCTTGGGGCGAGGCATTGCTGTTCCCAGGGTGGTGAGAAGCTTGTGGATAACAGTATCCGGCCACTTTACTTTCTGGTGTCGATCAGAGTCGAGCGGGTTCTGACTCTTGCAACAGAACCGAGCATCACCCACGCCTGCACCCTCCCGCAACTGTTGCTGCATTTGAGCCCGTGAGCGAAGCCTCTGTGCCCATCTTGGTCTCTCTTTCACTGGCCCCTACGTTACCATGCTAGATGTCCTTCTCAGCGACTGCTCCCCACTGATCACATGTGCAAAGTAAATGAGACAAAGTCTCCCCATCCTTGCTTCCAAAGTACATTTTGGCTAGGCTTCTTCCAAGACAGATTTGCCCACTCTTTTGGCAGTCCATGCTGTCAAAGAGTAGAATCCCTGAGTCTCCTCACAGGGAAAAGGCAGAGAGCTGTATTGAGGACAACGCAGTTCCATGCATGGGGGCAACACCAGGCAGAGAGGAATCAGTCAGGTGCTTCACAGTATCGGAGTTGCACAGCCATAATACTAAGGTCAAACCAGGAACGTAGGTTACAATATTCTGATTGGTGTTTGGTGAAGTAGTTGAGGTAGGCTATCAGGAAGGAGGGCGTTTTCTGTGATTGGTTTACAAAGCACAGATGGGCTGTGGTGATTGGATGCAGAGAGGGGGGGTCACAAAGTGGCCACAAGCTGCTTCCGCGCTAGATTGAGAGAGCCCAAATCAAACTTGGTGCACTGAGTCTGTCCTGGCTCATAACAACCTTAAAAACAGAGCAGAACTGCTGCGAAGGGCTTCCAGGAGACCTGGTTTAGTCAGCTAAGCAGTGGTGGTGGTTCAGCCCCACCAGCCACTCGCTGGCGGAAACACGAGGCTGTCAGCACCTGTCAAGATGTATAGGCTTGGCGACCCCAACTAGCAATGCAGTCTACTCTCCTGCACAGCCCACTTGGAGACGGCATCAGTGTGATGGCAGCGAGTCTGGTTTTTTTGGTTATTGTTGTTTTCAAATAGGGCTTCCAAGGCTGTCTATCTTTAAGGAAGCAAACTGCCACATCTTTCTCTCCTGGGAGGCTGATGGGTTCCAACCGCTGCCCTTCTGGTTAGTCAGCCGAGCACTCAGCCGCTGCGCCACAATCCAGTGGTACAATGGTCCGCCGGTGCTTTGTTTAACTCCCTCCTCCGGGGTTCACATGGTGGACGTTTGACATCGGTCGCCTCATGACAGCTTACGAGAGAGCAAGCAGTATGGGCTCAACTATTAGAAAACCTAGAAAAATCGACGTCCTGCTAAGACCGTTGCAAGATCAGAGAGCCTTGATTGGAAGACCTGTAGAATCTGAGGAACAGAATGTATTCATTCATTTTCTGTTGATGAAGTTTCGAGTCTCAGTGAGGGTGCTCACTTAAATATAATGATCTGAATCTACACAAGCTGCTTCTAAAGGTTAGTTACAGTTTCAGGGGGGAAAACACAAAACAAGAGTCTCCTCGACAGCCTTCTTAGGACTGCGCACAGATGAACTGTTGCTAAGAGGAAAAGCAAGCCCCATAACACAGTCTTAAAGGATTTAAGAAAACGTCGCGCCTAAACCCGAGTCAGCATCTCTCAGAAAAGCAGCCTCTCCAGTGGTTTTAAACTTTTTCTTACGAAGAGGTGAGAAAAATGTATAAAATATAAGTTGTAAAATTTCATATTTACAACTTATCAAACCTTTCTTGCCCATCTTGTTGCATATTATTGTCACCCAAGAAACGCCCATCTGTCACCTGCCCTGCCCTCTCTTCTCCTCCTGCCTTGGTAATCATGAAACTGTCTTTTTGAGTGGGAAAGCCTTTTCTTGATTAAAAATAAGAATAAGGACCGTGATCTCATATAAGATTTGTCCTTTTGTGTGACTGACTAATGCTATGAGCAGGAAGCGCTCCAGATCCACCCCTGTCGTGTCTCCCGGCTTCACCATGATTCCATTGTGTGTAGGTCCCAACAGTTATGTATCCATCTTCCACGGATGGGCCTTTGGTTTACTTCCGTCTCTTTGCGATTGTCAGTAGGGTTGCCAGGAATATGGGCGTGCATGCATTTCTTCATCCTGCGGCGTTTATTTCTTTCGGGTCTACATCAAGTGGGAACTGTTGGGTCATCCTAGCACTTCTGCTCCCAGTTTTTTGAGGAAGTGACAGACTGTGTTCCACAGCAAGGCACCCTAATGTTAAAATCCCTTCCACCGTGGCATATGCGATATTTTTCACTAACGCCATCATCTGAAGGCACCAGTGTCGTCTTCATCCACCAGCCTGGGGAGTACCACGGCTGGTGTCAGCAGAGTACCATGGTTGGGGTCAGCAGAGTACCACGGCTGGGGTCAGCAGAGTACCACGGCTGGGGTCAGCAGAGTACCACGGCTGGGGTTAGCAGAGTACCACGGCTGGGGTCAGCAGACCTTCGTCCCCAAAGTGACATTTTTGCTTTTCACTGTGGCTTAACCAGAATTCAAGTTTCAAATGATAATGTGCGTCCACATTAAAAAAAAAAAAAGTATTCGTAGCAGAGAAAGCCCTGGTTCAGGGGTCTTCAAACTATGGCCCGCAGGCCACATGCGGCCCGCCGAGGACACTTATCCAGCCCACTGGGTATTTTTGCCCTGTTTGTATTTTTACTTCAAACTAAGATATGTGCAGTGTGCATAGGAATTTGTTCATAGTTTTTTTTAAAACTAGCGTCTGGCCCTCCAACGGTCTGAGGGACAGTGAACTGGCCCGCTGTTTAAAAAGTTTGAGGACCCCTGCTTAGTTCTTTGTGATTGAAAACCGGAGATTCAGGCTACATGGCATCTGTCCTATATCTCCAAATCATCAAGCAGAGATAGTAGCTTAGGAAGGCAAGAGTGGAAAATCTTATCGGAATTCTGGTTTGTCGTCCCCAAAGCCATAAGCCACCTGCTGCTGTACAGGTCCTCTTGTCTTCCTTGCTTTCTCAGGTGGAAGGGGAGGTGAACCGGCAAAAGGAAGGATGAGAAGGTGGGGGTGGGTGGGTGAGGGGATGCCCTAGAACAGCTTCTGGAGGGGAAGAATCAGGATTCTGAAATCAAGGCTAAGGAGATTTCTGGATGAAGAGCCCCCTGTGATCTTCCAGGAGAGAGTACATCTCCTTTCCAGAACTTTCCCTACTGTCCTTGTAGAAATATTCTCATGTATGGGGAGGGGAGAGGGCAGGAGAAAGGGCCATATGATGCTTGCGTGGATTGAGTTGAGGGACCAATGATCGCAGGATCAAGATAACCTTTCCTCTGGTTATCCATGAGGTCTCCACTTGATGGTCACTCACAACACCAATGTCATCCAGCAGTTGTTTAGACGGATTTGCCACGCAGGGCGCCGAGTGACAGTGATCACAGCAATTATACCGGAGGTAGACTGGAAAGGGATTGATGTTCCTTCTGTTGTGCCCGGCCCTTCCTGATCAGAAACACACACCACATACCTTCCGTTCTCTTCCTAAGGCAGGCGCCTGGGGCACACACTGAGAAACTGGAGGTGGACCCCGAGATTTTCCTCGGAAAGGGAATCCCTCTCACTGACTCCGGGACTCTCTGTGAGTTCCTGTTTGCCGGGCTCTGCGCTGAGCCCGGGCAGTGTGGTTCTGTCCCGTTTGGAGCAGATCTGGTCCCAAGCCACGAACTGGGCTCATTCATCCCATGGTGCTACCTTGGGCTTCTTGTCCAGCCAGGTGCTGCTGCTGTGTTTTTACATTTTTCTTTTTTCTTTAGAGCTCGGTGCTCTGTTCTTTGCTGAGGTTTATGGAGCTCCTTGTCCCTTGGCCACGACCTGGGATAGCCAGTGAGTTCAACTTCCCATTGGCCACGATGGAGCAATAGACTGTGGAGCCGCTCGGAGGGAGGCGTGCTGACCTTGCCTTGGGGAGTCTTTGCGCCTGCTCTGTGTGTCAGCCTGGCTGCGACAGGGCCGTGGGCCTTTTCAATGATTCCTCTGTTTCTCTTCTTTCAGTATTCAAGGAGAAGCCTAAATATCCCCCCAGCAGGGCCCAGTCCCTGAGCTATGCCTTGTCAACCCCTGACGCGACATACTTAAGCTCCATCGTCCGGCTCTTCAAAAACCTCAACTTTGTGCTACTTCTCATCACCTACGGTAAGGGGCCGACGTGTCCAGGAGTGCACTTGAACTGGTAACTCAGGTGAGATGCCCCACGAGGTCTCAGAGGCCTGCTTTGTCTCTGTGTCTTCCCCTTTCCAATCCTAAATGTGCATGTAGAGTTGTCATGTGAAGTGGACCAGAGAGCCAGCGCTTTGCCTCAGGGTTTTTTGCACGTGGTCTAAATTCCACCTTGAAAGCCAATTCCTCCCATTCTGGGCTGTCTGGTCAACATCTACTGGGCTGACCTGTCTCCGTTCAGCTCCACCTCTGGAAAGCAGATATCTTCTTTCCACTCCTTGTTCACCGTAGCACTAATTGTACAAACAAACAAAATAACCCATTTCCCACGTCTGTCTCCCTACTAGATTGTGAAGTCCTTGAACGGGGGGTTACGTGTCTCTTCCACTTTCGTTCCTCGGTCGTGGCTGGCCTGGCCTGGGTCCTCCAGTGGCTGTTCTTGGACACCGGCACACACAGATGGCTGAGTCGTTCCACACGTGGTTCTTGTTGGGTGCATCCAGTCAGTTCCAGCTCCTCAGGATTGTGTGTACAAGCAAACACACGAGCCCATTGTGTCAGCTCCTGTGTCAGTCCATCTCCTTGAGCACTCTTGAACCGATCTTGCCTCGTCATGTAAGGTGGACTCCCTTGTTTCCATTTTTTTCCCCCATTGTTTGACAAGATAGATACACATCTTTCATGACGTGCCTTGCCGGCCTGTCTCATTCTCCGTCTCCTTACAAACCCTTTAGGAATGTTGGACCCAGAAGGACAAAGACCAGCCTCATGACATTCCATGAAGCGTGCTTGTTCTCCGGGTGTACACCAATCCATTAATTGTACTCTTCGTTCAGGCAGTTACAGATCCACCCAGCTGTAGTGATTTCTGGCCCGCATGGCACCATTTAATCCATTGGTTAAAGTTTGATGGAAACCAAGACTCAGCAAGGGTCTCACATGCTCAGAACCGTATTTAAAGAAGAAACGAGAAGGACTAGGCAGGCCTTGTTCTCGTGGAATCCCAGTTGGCTACCAGCACACATTGTCTGTCGGCTGACATCCTATGTGTTTCTTCCCAGCGATCACAGTGAGGGGCAAGTGCCTTGGGAGAGGAGTGATGGTGGCTCCGTGGCTAAAGGGCTCAGCTACTAACTCAAGGGTCAGTGGCCTGAGCCCAGCATCTCCTCTGAGGGAAGAAGGTGGAGCAGTGTGTCTGGAGAGAGGACAGCCTTGGAAGCCCAGTGAACAGTTCCCCTGTCTCTGGTGCTGAGTTTGGGTTTGGAAGGACTTTGCACACCTGGTTTTATTTGATTCCTTCCACACCCAGGTGAGGTAGGTCTCATAATTAGCCTCACTGACTATAGGAGGAAGCTGAAATCCAGAGAGATTAGGAAACTTGCTCATGGTCACACAGCTTCTAAGTGAGTGGCAGAGCCAGAGTTCACATACAGGGTTCTCGAATTCTAAAGCCTACAGAATTGCCTATATATATATATAGTCTTTTCTAGAATTGTACCAGGAGTTCCTTAGACCTTTCTATGCCCTTTACCTCTTAAGTCATGTGTTCCCTGTTGACGCATTGGCCAAGGCATGGCATCCTCACACCCAGGCAGGGGCTGTCCCACTTAGAAGAGCTCTCTGGATTCACTTCTAAGATCCCCTGCCTTTCCGTTGCACAGTTATCTCCGGATATGTTGCTTCCATCACCTATCATGTAAAGAGAAGGCTTCAGTGCCTAGAGATGCCCAACAAAGGAGCCTGTAGGTCGTCCCCCAGTGAGAGCGGCTCCGTAATGGGTGAGACCACCCAGAGACATAGTGTGGGGACTCTCAGGCTCCACATGGGTGATGGAGCCAATGGCCTTTGAGGCCTCTTCCACTCAGATTCCATCACGCTCAGAACTTTCACTTTCCTAAGAGTGAAACCTCTTATGCACGTTGACCTTTGACAATCATCACTTTTTTTTTTTTTTTTTTGCAATCTCTGGCACAGCATCCCCAGAAGGCTGTATTGGATGGCAGGGCAGATGAGCATTTTGTAAACACTGACGAGGCTGCTGGCGACAGCTGGACCAGGGTCCCATTCTAGAGGTTGTGGTTTTTGGTCCCAGAGGCTGATAATGGCAAGGCCCGTTCACTGACCCCTGGACGCAAGAAACAAAACCAAAATGTCCAAGGGACGGGGTCACGCCTGCTCATTAAGGATTGAGCTCTGGGTCGTGTTGTGGGGAACAAAGAAACTCCTTCCTCTCCCTTCTTGCCTAGCTTGGTGTTTATACAGTCTGAACAATAAACAAACCGTTGTATTGACATAGAATTCATCTGTCATCCAATCCAGTGGTTTCACCCTCTAAAAAGAGTTGTGCCCGCATCATCACAGTTTTAGTCTGTTCTTCCTTCTTGTACTCTTTACTGTTAGTTCCCCACTGTCCCCAGACCTCCCCTGCTGTCATGCTAGAGTAACTTTAATCTTAGACTTCTGAATGCTATTCGTTATTGATTTGATTAAACGGTCACACGGAGGGTAAATAAG